TATAATGTATTTAAATTGCTTTTGAATTTACTAATGTTTTCCATTTGTGTACTCTGGCTTTCTCTCAATTGTGGAATGTAACTGCTATCCACAACAATTATTAGAAAACATTACCAACACCTTCCTAACAAAGAAACTCACAAATCCAATTAAGATACCAACTGTACTCAAATCAGTCAAGAGATGATGGAGGTCTGACCTAAAAGTTTGTGCTTGAAAAAAAACTAAAAAAACTCAGAGCTGCTATGATGTGGCTAAATGTAGTACTTAATTTGTCCTCAGCTGCTAATATGACATTAAAGAATAGTTATTAATTTCTCTGAAAAAATTAGTGGGAGTCCAGACTACCTGGAATCCCTCCCCAAGATTCACACCTGCTTATACAGCACTAAATAATAGTTATCAAAATAAGTTAGAAACATAACACAATGTTCAAAAAGTAAATTTTCACATTATTTACCAACACTGTAGTCACCAGATAGTTGGCAGTTCAAAATAAGTGACAATGATTAGATAGCCTTTATTTAATGCTTAATTAGACAGAGAATTGGCAATGGGTGCTTCCAGCTAGTTGCCTTTCCTTTGATGAGTTGCATTTTCCTGACATTAAATGATAAATTGTAATTTCAATTAATCAATTATTGCAATAGTTGAAAACAGTACTAATAAGAAACACTAACTTCAATTATTTAATTAACTTTCCAAGCTCTAGTTCCAAAGTTGATCATAAAATCTGTAATTTAGTTAAAGAAAAAAGGTGGAAGCACCATTAAAAGCTAGGAATAAACTATACCATAAATTATATAGGGAAAAAGAGGAAATATGAAATTAAAAAGAAATTTAATTTGTTAAATACTTTGTTATTGTGGTAAATTGTATGTTGGCTATATAGAATTGGTCATTGAAAGTATGAATATAAAAATTACTAAGATGTGGAAATAAGTAAATTAGCTGTTGTTAACTGCCTGATACACCAAAGTCATGGTATCAATTTTAAACAAAGAAATAAATATGAATCTAAAGACATAATAAAAAGGAACTATCAAACAACAAATTTAGATGAAAGATTAGTTTTAAATCCATTATGGAAGATTTTTGTTTTCACTGATTGTTTAAAATGTATGATTTACATATCGTGGCTGTCCTTTAGTTATTGGTTCACACTAAAATGAATGTTATTTCACACTAAATTTATATCTCTGATAATGGCAAGCCAAAACATGTTATGTCAATTTGAATGTTTATAATTCATGCGATAGGACATTGTCCATTTTATTGTTTTATATGTATAGTAGTTTATTTCTAAAAACTTAAAAAGATGTTGAAAAAGTGTTATAAGTATAATTAGTTTGAAATAAACCTAAGCCAATACTCATAAAAATTAAAACAGGAGATGGTTATTTCTTTTTGCTTTGCTTCTTTAGCGAGGAACTTGTTGAGTTTATGAAGTAAATCTCTTTTTTTTGTTATTCTTCTCATTGAAAATCACTGCATATAGCTTTTAAAGTTTTCAGTTTTATACACAAGCCTGTATGATTAATTTACAATGTAGTTACTACAAACCTGTTTCTGCATAGGTAATAATATAGTTCATCATATACAACAAATGTTTGTTACTAATTATATACCTCTACCTAGAAAAATATATCCGAAATACAACTTTTTTAAACTCATTATCTTTGTTTGATAACATCAAAATACTTAAATTATTTTCTTAGAATAATAACACTACAGATTATGCTTTGAAATTCACTCAGTATTCTAATCAGAATAAGAAATGTTTACAAAATGTAGTAAAGTGCTGTCTGCAAATTTTACTTTTTCAGTTTCCACTGAAAGAATGTGTTGTTATAGAAAATTGGGTGAGGCCACTACTTTCAAAGTAAGAGTGTATTTTGAGAGATGTTTTCTTATTAGAATGTATTATCTGTTTGGAAGTACACATAGACAACTGAATAATAAACTGATATTGTGCTCAAATTGTTGATTAATTGTTATTATATATAACAGTGTTGTTCAAGAGTAATGAATTGATTTTATGTATAGTAAATAGTTGTACTTTAATTTGATACATGTAAATTGAAATAAAGGAGTATGGTTGCATTAATATAGAATTGTTATACTCTATTACTTAAATAGATCAGTATCATGTAATAAAGTGTGAAGAATTGTTACACATTGGTACATAAATGGATTGGTTTTGTACAATATTAGAGATTTTAAAATTTCATGTGCAAATAAAAAAAACTGACTTGCATGTAATTAAGTCTTTGATATAAACTCAGCCTGCTGAAGAAAATCATTTTTATTATTTGAAGAGAATTCCAACAGAGAAGCTAATTGATTGAAGAATGTTTGAGGACATTATACAATAAACACTATGCAGCTAATGAATGTTCCAATAGCTGTACAGTCTGACAAAAAACAAGTTGCTCAAAAATTTGAAACATTCTTTAGTTATAATTCAAGTGAATACTTGTTTTTGAATACTGAATGGTGTATTTAAACATTTTTACTTTATTTAAAACTGTAGAATCTTACCACTTGCAAATACAGCAGATAAACTACGTCATAGTAAAAGTACTACAACACTAAAAACTTGGTTTAAACTTGTTTTGATCATTCTGGCCAATATCTCATTTTTGAGATATATCAAATTTTACAGAGACACATAGACTTATATATATATATATATATAAAGAACTTTTATAATGATGATCCTCTAACAGTTTTTTCTTCTTAATATGAAATGCTTGAATGTGTATTATTTCCTTTGATAGTAGTCATCTCGAAGGCACCATCAGATTCTTAAAATATTGGGTTTATCATGACTCAGACTGTATGGTTTACCATGTGCAAGGTTTATTTAGTTTTCAGCTATGGTAGTAATGTATTAATTTTTAAATCTGTAAAATAAATGTTGCTGTACATTTTTACAGATTAAGTTGAATAATTTTGTTTCAAAGAACTAATGACTGGAGGATTATTTTTCTTCAATAGCTTTTTTTTCATAACCATCATATATGGTATCATGGTTAGTTTGATAAATCACTGGCCCTAAGAATTAGAATGCATTTTTAAGTATCGTAATAGAAATGATATGTAGCCCTTAACTAATTCACTGAAGATGTGTGAATTTGTGAATACATATGTACTAAACAAAATACATGTTAATTCCATTTTCTCACACTGTTGCTGAGGAGGAATATATGTAAATAAACTAATGCTCGACAAGACACTATCTATTCCTTTACTGGGATTGAAAATATTCATGAAGATACACCATGTGTGACTAGTGATAGCTTTGTTTTAGAAATTTGTTAGCTTCCCACCAAGGAATGTTATTAACACACAATTTGACAACTGACTTACATTATATCTTTTCTAATTACTTAATAGAAACACTGAATATTTTCTTACCTTTTTCTAAAAGCAATATATCATTTAGTATTACAATTCCCAAAACACAACCAAAAGTTCTTGAACACTTTCAAAACATAGTTATTGTTTCATCAGGAGTAAAGAAAAGGGGCCATCTTTTAAATTATAATAAATACAAGATAATGCAGGTGGGATATCACAATTTGAATTATGAGTATAATTTTGATAGGAATAACCTTAACAGTATTTTGGAAGAAAACAAATCTTGGTGTTCTGGTTCATCAGTTCTCTTGAGCCATCCAGGGCAAATGGGATATTAGGTTGGATCTAAAGAAATACTGAATACATGTCTAAAGAGATTATAATGCCATTGTATAGGTCATTGGGTAGGCCACATTTAGATTACTGAATCCAGTCTTGGGTTCCTTACCTTAGAAAGGACATTGAATTATTGGAAAGGGTTCAGAGGAGGGTTACTAGGATGACACCATACGAGGATAGGGTAAGATCGCTGAACTTGTTTTCTCTTGAAGAAAAGTTGTTAGAGTGGATCTCACTGAGATGTTTAAGATTGTTAAGGGGATTGATGCATCTTCTTTTTTAGTATTTACTGGTGAGATTGGTAAGACTAAAGGACCCAACTATAAGTTTTGGCAGGATAGGAGTCATCTTCAGCTAATACAGCCTTATTTTTCTAACAAGTTGGTTGACCTTTGGAACAGTTGCCTTCAGATGTGGTAGATCCAATTAATTTAAGGGAGCTTAAGGGAAACTTGATGACTATTTGAATGATACAAGCTGGCTTTCAGGTTTTGTTTAGTGTTTAATTTTGTGGATAAAGCAGCCTAGATTGACAAGAAGGTCCTTGTTGTCATTTAATGCTATACTAACATGAGTTCAGACTAGAAGTATGTACATTATTACAGTTAAGTAACATTACTCTCTGTCTAGTTTAACAGAACTTTGAGAAAATGCTTTTAATCTTTCCATTCTAGACTTGGAAACAAGGGTGGTGTTATACACATTCGATGTAATCAAGTAGTGGAAATGTTAGAAGGAGGGTTCATTGCTCCATACAATTTCAAAAGGGTAAGCATTTACAAGAAATTTGTATCTCATAATCTTGAAAAATATTCAGGCATTACTACAGACAAAAATCATGATTGTAATTTTGATCTCCAGTTCTATTTACAATAAGCTCATTATAAAATCTCCCATGAATTTGTAAAGGAGGAATTATCTGTTTAACATTTACCAAATGTACTTAAGTATGCATATATTTAAGCTCACTCAGTTATTAAAATTTTTCAATAATTTTTAACAAAATGACTTGTAATTTTGCTGTTAAGTTCTTGACCTACATGAAATATGATCAAAAAACAAACTTTAAAGAGCTGTGAAGGGATTCAGTAAATAGGGATCGAGAGATTTTTGACACACATTGACACTAATAATATCAGTGTTAGTTAAAAGTTTTTTTTATATAAAAGATTACATTGAATGTTACTTGTAAGTTAGTACCTAATCATTATTCCTTAAATAGTCAGTATCGAGTTACCAAATAATTAGGTATCAAAATCTACTCTCTTCTTAACTTAAAACAACTCATTATTTATACTGTTAACCAAAGTGAATTCCTATATCATACAAATATACAAACTCATAACTTAAAGTAAAAACCTTTCATTTATTTCAAAAGTTTAATTTTGTGGTGCCTTTTTACACCAATTAGCCCTCTCGCTACAGGTATGTGAAAGTGTGCATGTCATGTCTTTTTAGAAAGTTACATTCAAAGTTTAATTAAACTACTTTATTATCATTGTATACAAATACACTTGGCATCAAAATGCTGTTAATAAATCAAATTTTAATGTTTTTAAGATTTAAGTTCTTAATTTTATAAGGAAATATTTTACAAAATCCTCTGGTATAAGAATTGTGACATTTGCTCTCTAGGTCTTCCACTGTCTCTAATTTATTTAACCCCTACCCCCCAAGAAATACAGAATTTAACATAAGTTACTTATTATGATATAAATATTACTAATACAAAGTATAATTTTTATAGCCTTCAAACTTAGAAAATCAGACCTTCTTTGCACACCCACCTGCCACATTCTGACTTTCCCAAATTGCCAATAGTTCTTTGATGTTTCATACTGTGTTATATATATCCAATAGAAAGCCAAAGTTTTAATATATCCAATGACATATTATATTATATTGTTTTCTGTAGAGAGGATTTCTATTTCACCTTCATTTTGAAAACTGTTATTGCAGTATTCACATTGACAGTTTTAGCTAAATTTTTAAAGGCTCTTATTGCATAGTTAGAAAGCCAGGTACATTATGGTAATTATAGGACATCGTTTGCTTTGTGTGTGGTATTATCCTGTGTTCTTAGGTGAATTATTTAATTAAATAAAAATTATTTTGTGTACTAGTACCATTAATATAAAAAAAAAGTAGGCTTACTTTCATCAACTGTCAATAGCAAAAAAACAAGAAGACACAGATAAATACCATATTTTTTGTCTTTCACGTATATATACTTTGTTTACTGTTATAAAAGTAACTGAAATGTAAAAATTAGAAATTTATTAGGTTGGATTAGATAAGATAACAAAAAAAAGTTCTTCACCAGGTATGCTTGTAAGCAGCTCTTGGGCTACATAATTCAGTATAGTAACTTGAGCTACATATTTGCTGAGTAACTTACAAGTTGTGTGGTGGGATTATCAGTTAGACATGAGCCAAAGGGCAATAAAACAATGAAATTTAAGTATAAATAGATCTATGTTGTTACCAGGTTTAAGCTATTTAGGATAAACAATTATAGGTTCCTGTTTCAATCTGCAGAAATTCCAGAAAGAAAAAAGCTAATTGGATTTATTTCATATTTCTTTTAGATGGTTATGAGTTCAGTCAAATTGACTGAATGTGTGTAGAGTTAGGATAGAGAAACGAACAGATAAAATATAAAAATTTTACGAGAAAGAACATTTCACATTTATTTAGGAGGTTTTAGAGGTTATGCAAATGAAGTTTGAGAATTTTCAGGTGAAGAAAAATTTTAATTTTAGTACTACAACCAGTTAGCACTCTGACTTCATATATTCATTGACAAATTTTTAGTAAAATTACTAAATTAAAAAATATAGATTTTGATGTGTAACAAAAGACTTGTAATATTTGCTGAAAGCTTGCCAAAGTTCGTAAAGATTCACAAAACATTAAAATTTATAGCATGGAAACTGATGATCACTTTGGGGTCATAATGTCAGTGTAATCCTTCAAGCCCATAGGAAGAGAATCATGTCCATAACCATTTTACACTTGTTATGACACTTCCACAATGCATAATTTCATTAAAAAGTACAGGAACAAAGAAAACATTTGGTATGCAATAATTTTTTCCACCATCATAGTTTTAGGACTTTCTATTTATATGCATAGCAGTATTTCATATTCTAAATTGCATATTTATTTTATTTTTTTAAATATATGAGACCACATCACACACTCATTAATAATAAGTAGGTTAGTGTTTGGCATGGGCTTCTAATTAATACCATATTTTTTTTTTATATCTAGAATGACTGCAGACTGTAATAGAAATCTACAGTTATTTTTCCTATCAGCCTCTTTCTTTTAATTTTATGGTTTTATTGCTGTACAGTATACTTTTGGATCCACTCACTAGCATGCATGAAAAGCAATAAACCACAACAGGAGCCCATTTTGATGTTTCCTGTAAACTTTAGGGTAAACAAACAATCAGTTTACAGTCATCAACATACTGGAGCTAGCCTTCCCCTTGTAAAATTTTAAACATCTTGTTGTTACCTCTACCACCAAAGGTGGATGGAGGTTATGTTTTCCCCCCTGTGTTGGTGTGTTTGTCAGCAAGATTTCTTGAAAACAACTTAATGGATTTGGACAAAAGTTGGTATACATTTGGACTATGACCCAACTTAGAAGTGATTAGTTTTTGGAGGGTCAAGGCCACAAACATCCAAAAAATCAGTATCTCTTAACATGGGGACCAATTTTTCACACTATTTTTGCTGTATAACTCAGTCAAAAATGATTGGATTTTTTTTATGAAACTTGGTGGACATATGTAGTATATTATTCCTCATTATTCTGCCAAAAATATTAATAGTTCTTGAGAGCCAAATATAATAAATGTTGCATGTGTGCTCTACTGAGTGCCCTTCTAGTTTTTTTTTTTTACCAAACCTAAGAAGTTTCCATTTTTTAATTTTTGTTACTTCTGTTAAAAAGTATATAACAATAAATAAATAAAAAATATTACATTTGTTCTCACACAAAATTGAGGCAGTCTTTGAGTCTATCAAATTTGGATGTCCTAAAATAAATCATTTAGTGTGTATTTTAGAACACAAAAAGATATATCAGACACTAGAAGAGAATATCCAAGTCTACTATAATTTGTCTAACTTTCAAAGAGTTCTGTTAGCTGCTTATTATTGAACATAAGTGATCACAGACAAAGAATCTAAGGCCAACTATATATGCTCACCAAGGAAAAAAAAAATATATATATATAACTGTCTTGAAAAGCAGGACTGATGGAGGGACTTCTATGGTAAGTTTGACAAATTTATTGATATCTCAGCAAGTCAAGAAGGTATCTGGTAATTATTTCTTGTTTGTTTCTAATGAATAGGAGACTGAAAACTGTATTATTGAAAATATAAAATCTCAAGTAGAGATTTCAGAGTGGAGCTGCATCACTTGACACTGAGAAGTGACAATTGGGAATTTTTTAAGTATTTCCTTTTGAAATTAAGAAATGAAAACTTAGATAATGTAAAAGATTTGAATTATGAACTACATTTTGATGCTATGTTTATTAATATACATTGAAGTAAAGGTGTTTAATTAAATTTTAAATGTAACTGTAAAAAGTCATAATGTATACTTTGATCCTGCTATGGAAAAAGTTAATATTCTTTGCTTTATTTTTTTTATATAGTTTTTGATATTTAGTAATTAAAGAATGTAATAAATCTCACCTCACATAAATAGCTTCAGTTTTTAGTTCATACTTTTTGTAATTGCCTGTTTGTTCAGCAACGTAGTTCTGTTCACATCTAAGTATAATATTTTTTGTTATTTTCATTTATATGCATCATGGTTCATGTTGCTGCTTCAGGAAGCTCGTTCCTGTCTTTTTGCCCTCAACTATGTCAATGCTGATGATTGTGTATCTCAGATGAGTCAGGTTTGTTATTTATGTGTATGATTTATACATGAGGAGTTAGTTTTTTGAGCACTTATCAGCTAGTACTCATTTTGTGGATTGTACTCATATGCTAAAGGAAAATGAAAACAGGTATACATTTTAAATCTCATTTGTAGTGTTTATTGTTCTATTGAATAGACTTACAAAAAATTTTTAGTTCCAATTATGTACAACCTAGATGTAATTCTTTTATGTGAATTCTGTAGTGTCTCTTGCATATCTCTTGTGTTGCAGCTATGTTTTTAGATTGAATTGGAAATGCTAAAATAGATTACTGTTACTCTGAAATGTCATATTTGAATTTTTGTGTATGTCATAACTTTTGTAAATGGCTTTAATATTATATATTACTTGCATAACAATGTTAAAATATATCTTAGGGGAAGAGAAGCTTTTTGGTTTTGTGTGTGGAGTAATGTTAATTTAAATGAAGTGTTTCTTTATATCATGATACTCAGAAATAATAAAGATTATTTTTATGTTACAGCTAAGAAGAGCAGCAACATTACCTGCTGCCGAACAAGCTTCTATGGTAAAATATAAGTATTGATCTTGATGAATTAGCCTCATATTTAGAATACCTACTTTTTTGTAATTGGTTTAAAGTATACAGAGGCTGTGTATGTTATATTAATACAGGGTGCATGTGTCTTCTGGAATTTCACCCTAACCCTGGAAAAGTCCTGATTTTTTTCATTTACCCCTGGAAAAATTAAATCTCTCCTACATTAGACACTTTACAGTAAATGTTTGTTGATATGTAATCCCAAGTGTTTGATCATTTGTTCTTGTTTTTTCTTAACTATATACACATTTTCAGGTCAGGTACAATTTATGAGAGTTGTCTGGATCTTATGTAGTGATGTGTTACCATTATACCATTATGATCAATTGTCATAGTGAATGCAATGCATGCCACAAATCTCTGTGTAGATTGGCTGAACGAGTCTCCATCGATCGATATACACACATAGCATGTTCAATGCACACAACACAAATTGATGCATTGTCAAGCAGAACAGTAGGCCTACATATTGGCTGACATTAGCTCATAATCACGAGAGGCAAGTACATATTTAACTAGAGGTGGCTCAAGGAGCCTGAATACTATATGTGATTGAGCCGAGATGTGGATAAATACAATGCAAGATGCACTTTGTGCATGATGTCTTGAACAAGGGAGAAGTGGCTTTAAAAAGCCACACTGTCAGCACAAAGTACATGCATTTGTGTTCAACACGCAATGGACTATGTTCATCAGGAGAAATAGAATCTTCTTTTAATAAAAGTGCTATTCAAACTAACTTCAATTGTCCACCCCTAGCTGACACAGCCACAAGTACATGTACCTAACAACAGTTACTGACACCATTTGTATCAAGGTCAGATTGTTTAAAATCTGAAATTCTGTGCACATTGTTATTAGATCACACTACTTCATGAACTCGTGTTTGGATGTCAGTCCACTTTTTGCTTAAATGTTCTCAGACTCAACAATACCAAAACAGTTTTCATTTAGTGAAAGGAAATGTGCTTGCTTGTGTAATTTTGGAATAGCTCCATATCTGAAATCACTAAGAAAATCAATGACCAAAACTGATATGTCTTGCTCTCTGATGAAAGACAAAGTCACACTACCAGGAATAAAAGATGGATGTTCATGCACGGATTTGGGAAGATGACAAGATCCCTATCAGACTATCAGTATATGATTAACAACAACAACAAGAATAATAGTTATGATAATTTTACTACTACTACTGCTACTAATATTTATTTATTTTTATTTCTTTCATACAGTCATAAAGATAGATAAAAGGTTAATCAGAGTATATCTTCTGTGTTACTTTAAACATGCAAAAATAAAGAAGTTCCCATGGTGTTTAATCAGTATATCTTCTGTGTTACTTTAAACATGCAAAAATAAAGAAGTTCCCATGGTGTTTAATCAGTATATCTTCTGTGTTACTTTAAACATGCAAAAATAAAGAAGTTCCCATGGTGTTTAATCAGCTTATTTGTGGAATACTTCTTTATAACTATGACCATTTATTTCTATAAATGTTAGTAAATATAGCTAAACAAGAGGCAAAATGGTGAAATTGGTATTAGAAGTCTATGTTAAATGAAATTTCATATTAACATATATATCTGAAGTTAACAGATGAATAATTATAACACAGAAATCTAATATCCTCAAATCTTTTGCACCATTATCACAAACAATTACATACATACATAAAAAAGTGAAATTAATGATAATACTAGAGGGGCACTCAGTAGAATCATACCTCCACCATGCAGTGTTTTAAAGAAATTCCTAATTTCCCCTAGTTTGAGAATTGTGAAGTTTTCTTTCTAGGCATCCCCTATTTGTAAATTACTTACCTTTGTGGTTTCTGTTTCAGTTCCCATTTTGTTCCCATGGGAACCATATTGACAAGCTTTGCAAGATTTCTAACTACTGGGACATTTTATTGGTTTTGCCTATTACTATCCTCTGTTCTATTGAGCATTATTGAATAAATATATTTAAAAGTAACTTAAATGTAAAAATAGGAAACTTTTTAAATTAGTTAAGGTTACAATAGATAAAATAAATAACACTAGTATAATAGAAATTTATCACTAGGTATGCTAGCAAGCACCTTGTGCATAGTGTATGATGCAAATAGTGGTCAAACATTGTTCACAGTGACCTTTGACCTTGATCCTCCAAACACTAATCACATAAGTTGGGTCCATATGTGCACCAAATTTCATCCAAATCCATCTAGCTGTTTTTAGAAATCTTACTAACAAACACACAGGGATGAAATACAACCTCTGTTCACGTATGGTGGCAGAGGTAATTAATCCAATAAGAATAAATTACCATTCAATGAATGTTATTCAGCTTGTATATGAACACCAGTTTATCCCTGATGAATTCAGATTTCATGACAAGGAATCCACTTTGAGACTAATAATGCTTGGAGATGGCTTGAATGGGTAATGAAGAAAAACTTTAATATAAGTTTAACATAACAGCAAATGTACAACGTTTCGACAAGTACCTGATGATGACAGAACCTTGTCAAAACGTTGTACATTTGCTGCTATGTTAAACTTATATTAAAGTTATTCTTCATCACCCATTCAAGCCATCTCCAAGCATTACCAGTTAACCCTATTGCTACAGGTTACAGGTCAAAGACCATTTCATAGTGTTTTATTGAACTACTATTTTATGAATGTATGTCAATAAGTTTGGTATCAAATTGTAGATTACAATTCAAATTGTAGTATTATCTATTAGTTAATTGCTTAATTTAAAAGTATATATTAAAAAAACCCTAAATATCAATTTTTGTGTGTCACGTGGTATGTTGAATGCAGCTCTGGTTCAAATGTGATGTGTGTGATGTCAAAATACAAATTAGGAACTCAAATTACAAATTTTGACAAGCTAGAATGTAAAGTAAGAACCTCCTGTCTTTTCTGTTTGCTGAGGTATCACTACATTTACTTAATCAAAAATAGTGGCCCCGCTTACCTTTTTCCATTTTTGGAAATGCTTACATATACCTACTTCTGTCCATAACATGTAAATTACCAATTGAAAGCTCAGAATGGCCACATAGTGGCTTTCTCAGCCAATTTGAAGTACATTGGCAGCAAATTCTTTCTTTTTATGCTAGAATCTAAGCTGTAAGGTAAGACTTTGGTCAGCTCGAAATTGAGTATTTTTTTAGACCCAAATACGGCTTAGTTACTAAGCTTGATAAATTGTAGTGGAATTAGGTGGTATTGATATAGTAATTTATGATTTTTGGATATTTCAAAATGTATATATAAAACCTAAAAAAAATATTTCATTTCACATCCTCCAAATGCAAAATTTGGTAAGGCTTAGCAACCTATGGCAAGCAGCAAATGAGTACAAAGTTTGTAACTAGAAGAGATAATTGTTTGCTATACTTTTTTGTTTACTGTTCTATGTTTTAAGAAACATAAGTACTTATTTGAAAATAGTAATATTACATATACATACATTATGTATTATAACTGAAATGTGACTGTATTTTACAAAATACTAGTCCACTAAAACACAGCCAAGACAGGTCACTTTGTAAAGGCCAGTATATTCTTGGATACAGTAACATGAGAGCACGTGTGTTGTGTCATTGCAACTTCTGTAATGTAAGCCAGGCATAGCTGAAAAGTCAATATAATGAAAGTAATAAATATATATAAATGTATAATGTTATGAGATTTAACTATTTAGACTAAACATTTGTGTTTTCATGTTATAATTTGTACTCATTCTAGAATGAAAATAGCATAATTTATATTTATTTTCTAATTTTTTATGGTAGTTACGAGGTCGGTCAATTCAACCCAACCAGTACAGAGGTACAGTAGTGAAAATAATAGATAAAATATACATTTTTTTCTAAAAATATTTGTAATTATCTGCAGGTTATAAAGATTTCACATGTGAAATTTAAAAATGTTCTGTTGCAGAAAAGTATTTTTAATCTTAAGATCAAAATTACTTTGCATGTTGGATAGTCAACATTCGAAAAGAAAAAAAGGCATGATATAAACATTACTTAAGAAATCTTAAAACTTAATGTAAAAAAAATCTGATATTTTGTGTAAGAAAGCCTTGTAATGTTTATTAATAATGTGCAAAATTTTGTAAAGATATGGCTATATTATAAAAAATCATAGTATAATTATTCTCATGGATATTTTTGTGGTTGCGAGCTGGGTGAATCTCACCCAACCCATTTTGATAGGGTTAATAACCACTTTTAATATTTTTTTTAACTCTGCAGTGGTATTTATACTCCATAAATCTCTTGGAAGCTGGTTCATTATATATAGTATTTTATGCTCTCTTACTCTTGTTCCATAGTTATGACTATAGTTTGGAAGCATAATATTTATTTTCTAGTGTTTTCTAGTATTATACATATGATATTTTAGCACTTTATAACTTGAACTGTTATAAGAATTTATAAGTACCATGTATTTATAAAGTGCATTTATACCTAACAACTGGTTTCTTATAATTTCATCTCTTAATGTAACATTTGTGTGAAGTTCATCAAAGATGAACTTGTAATTACATTTTTACATTTTTTGAATTACATTTATTTTTTAAAGTGAACTTTACTTGTTTAGCCATATACTGTCAATGTATAATGCATAACAGATTCTGTTCATGATACACAAATAATTTTTTAATACTGATTGATATAATATTCTGTATCCTCCATAATTTTGCTGTAATAGGTCTTAATTTATTGCAAATCATATTTGTATCTTTAGACCAACTAAAAACATAATCTATAATTAGCCTTATATATGTCTTAGTATTAACATTTTCATTATACTTACATTTAAAATCAGAATACTGCTTGTTTTCTGCAAATAAATGTGTTACATAAATTTAGTGTTACATATCTGATCATGACTTTTTATTATTAATATTTATATATTGTAAGTAAATTATCATAATTTTTGTTTTATCTATATTCATATAGATTTCATTTATATCAAGCCAATACTTTAGTTCATTGAAATCATCTTGTAAAATTTCTTTGCTAATTTCCACATCAACATGATTTACAGTTAAAGCTGTATCATATGCATATTGATATATTATACTCTTTAAATCTATATTTGCAATATCATTAACATACAAATTAATCCTATCGCAACGAGCATCCTTTACTGCACATGTCACAAGGTTTTAGTGACTTATTTCAAAATTTAGTATATAAGTTTAAGTTCTTAATTTTATAAGGCAATATTTGAAAAGATCCTGAATTTCCCTTAGTGTAACAAATGTGAAGCATTTTCTCTCAGCATTTCCCCTTCTCTATTTTATCTACCACCACTCCAATAAGTACAAAATTCAGTTCAATGTAAATTACTCACTATAAATTAGCCATTGCTCAGACAAACCTAAGATTTTATGGCCTTCAATTTTGTTTTTTTACAGAGTTATCAAATAGAAAATCAGAACCCTCTTGCCACACGAACCTGTCACATCCTATTTTTCAGGATTTGTTAATAGTTCTCTTTTATGTTTAATTCTATATTATCTATAACCAATAGAAAGCCAAGGTTTTCATCTATCAAATGACGTATTATAATACATTGTTTTCTGAATGTAGAATTGTCAGTTTCACTGTTAGTACAAGCTTTGGTTTCATGGGAAAAATAATGAGTAGCTTGGATGAATTTGTAATGGGTCTTGTTGCATAGTTAGAAAGCCAGAAAATTGTGAGAGTTAGGGGAAATTATCTAGTTTAGTGCATTACTATCATTAGTATAAAAAAGTAAGGTTACATATCATCGAAAATCGACAGCAAGGAAGAAGAAGATTCGGGTAAGTACGTTATTTCTTGTTTTTCATATTTATTCTTTATTTATTATTATAAAAGAAACAAAATTGCAAAAATAGGGATATCTTTAGGTCAGTTACGGTTAGATTAGGTAAAATAAATAATAATGTAATAGAAATGGTTCACAAGGCATGCACGCGAGTAGCTCATGGGTAATGTAATTCAAGAGCGTAATGTTACCTCAACGTTCCCCAAGTGATTTACAAATTATAATGGTGCAAATAGTAGTTAGACATGGTTCAAAGGGCAATAAATCAATAAAATTTAATTATAAATGGATGTATACTGTTATGAATTTAAAGCTACTTAGTATAAACGAATGTAGTTTCATGTTACAATTTGAAGTAATTCTACTAAGAAAAAAATGGGTAATTTAGATTTATTTCAATTTTTTTTTTGTGGTAACAAGGTCAGTGAAATTGAGCAATAGTCTATAGAGTTAGGGTAGAGAAAATAACAGATAAAATATAAAGTTTTACTAAAAACAAACATTTGAAATGTATTTAGGAGGTTTTAGAGATTACACAAATCAAATGTGAGATTTTTAAGATGAAGAAAAGTATTTTTAATCTTAACATGAAAATTATTTTTTACACAGACTTCAAAACAAATACTCAATATATTCATGAACATATCTTTTTTCAGTTTATTTAAAATAATTCACAAAAAATATGATTTTTTGTTTATGAAAGACTTATAATGTTTATTGAAAACTGTCGAATTTTGTGAAGATGTACATACTATAATAAAAGTTAGTAGTATCAAATCTGTAAAGACTTTATACAAGTACAAATTATACTTTACTATTAAGATATGGATTATTAGCTAAGTTTTATGCTATTCTAATTGGTATAACATAAAATGTAATTGAATAAAATTTTGAATGTAAAACACTAAAACCTTATGTCGTGCACAGTAAAGAATACTTGGAGTGAGAGGGTTAGTACTGTTGATGGAGTCCTTAATGTTAGTATCAACAGCTTGCTTCTAGCTTCAGCAGCATCTGCAAGGCAAAGGTATATGGCCTTTATCAAGGAACAAGGGAAACAAAAAAGAACATGCAAAAATTGGTCAAAAAAGAAAGATTATGATGGATGAAATAGACAACATAAAAAAGAAAAGACAAATCTTGCAGGGTGATATTGCTGCTTTGCATAAGTTGGCAGACAAGTTTGCTGAAAAACAGAAGAACCAAGAAAATTTACTTTCATTGCCAAATCCAACAGCCTTACGCACACAGCTAAAGACCAATTGTATATAAATATACATACACATTTATATACATATGTACCTCTATTAAGAATTATATGACTATCACTGACCCAATACAATGCTAAATTTATAAAAAAAAAAAAAAATTGAATGAAGAAAGGTTGCCGACCATTGATATAAATATATAGGTGTGTTGGACTAAGGATTCTTCTACAGTAGGTGTCTGTAACTTGTTGCCAATAAATTTGATAATAAATAAACAGCACGCACTCCACTTGTTTTAAGATAATATTTGTATTTCAAACAAGTTAAATGATTCTTTACACTATGGAGATCATAGTGGTACCTTATACAGTTCTGTTCTTCTTGTCAAAAGTCCACTTAGGCCTATTCAATTGCTGTAGAATTCAATTGACAGGCCGAACTATTTTTCTTTATTTTTATTGCAATAATATCTGTGTATTATTCACTTATGTTGTTGCATGAATTACCACAGTTGTATCCTGAACTTCCAATAATCATCTGTTTTTTTGTACTTCCAATAATTGTTTGCCTTTTGTCACAGTCCACACAGACAGGTTCAATTAGTTTAGAACACCCTTTCACAAGACAAATTATTCTCCTTATCTCTTTCAAACTTTTAATCTCACTCTAACACATCAACCATTAGACCATTCACTCCCATGATGGTTAACTTTACATTTTCTAACTTTTCTCTGACCAAAGTTCTGTTTCACATGACTTTACTTTTACTCTGTTTCCACTCGTCTGGTCGCAGCTATATATACATCAATCACTTACCCCTTCTAGAAATCTCCATAGCCTCGTGCGATAGCCTCGGCATCAATGAGTTACAAACACAAAAAAATTAATTAATAATACTATCTACATTAAACAGTCTATTTTTATCTGACAATAAGCCAATTGGCTTTTAGGAGGAGTTCCCTGTGTTTTGATGTAAATGTTTCCACCAAGATGTCCCCAGAGCATAGCTCTTAAGTATAGAGAGCCAGCAAGCCCCTCTAATCTCTTCTTCTTTGGCCTATAGGTTTGTTAGACAAAGAATGCAGAATGGAAAAAACGAGGTACAGGAATAGAATTGGGTGATGATTACTGTTTCAAACACGATCACTTTCCTATCAATGAGTTTTTATTGCTTTTTTTTTTGTAGTCACTGAGTGCAGGATCCATAAAAAAGGAGAAAATTCAAAGCTCAAGGGGGGGGGGGACGCACTACAATGCCAAACATTGACAATCTAGCTACACCAGAGTTTCGTGGGCACCATACCCGAGCACCAGCATTAAACACAACATCCACAACAGTTGAGAACGTCCAACACTGGCACTTAGTTGATCCTAGCCAAACATGCCTAGCCAGTTGACCCAGGGGGGTGCACCCTAAGGCCACCAATTTACAGATATTCAAGGACAAAGTGATGCGTTAAAGTGGCACTGGCATAAACTGACCCATCAATGACACCCCCTCAAGCACCAGAATCCTCTTCTCCCCTTCACTGGATGCCAAAACTACAATTTTCTATATAAAATACAGAGTTGAGTATATTATATTAAAACACTCAAGAATAAGCAAATCAGTAAGCCCATGTGACAATCAAACCCAAAATAAATTTGTAGTTGGATAGCATGTATCTGAACTATATTTTGATATTGTTTGGTGTTTTGTAAGTCATGTGATGTCAATGAAAATTGGTCACTTTTGGGAAGGATAGGTAATATGTAACAACCCTTTCCAACACAACATATTCATAGACTCAGATCACAAAGATATGTTAATTTGATCAACCCCCTCCAGGTGGATCCCTGTACATGGTGAGGGGACCTCACTGGGAAGGTTCTGTATCTTTAGTTCCCCTCCTCTAGGATCCAAACATCCACCCACACGTTTGCCATGTGGAAATCTGTTTTGAAATGTAGTTCACCCAAAGTCATTTTGTCATCCGTGTAAGATTGTGTTTGACAAAAACAATTTTCTCCTTATTATTATAACTTTTGCTAATAAAAGACAAATTATTTTCATTTACTGTTTAGGCCACATTATAGTTTCCTAATTTTTGTCTACCATAGATTGCAGCAATTGTCCTGTCAAGACAATCTCGAGTTAGTTTTGATACCAGCTGGTAAGTTTTTCAAAAATAATTGTTAAATTACACCTTTTAAATATTTTACATAGTTTTGTTTAATAAACACTATAGAAGTTAAATTTTCTATGTTTACATTGTAGAGTGAATATATCCTTTATGTTTCACCTTTCATTTGATAAGTGTTGAACATTATAAAGTGTTGTTCTTCTTTTGCTTATAGTGTACTGTAAAGCAGGAGAGTGTCATCAAACACATTAATCATTCTTTTTTATGTCATCAAAAATACTAAATTATTAGAATGTAAATTGTATATGTACTACTTGAAGGGGTATAAGGTATGGGTTAGCATTTCATTCATTTATTGTTCTCATTTCGTTCAGATTGTTGCACTTTTACAAAATATATACACATAATTATGTCATAATGTAAATCACTATTATGTGAGAACAAAAACAGTGACTAATAATGCTTGGAGACGGCTTGAATGGGTAATAAAGAAAAACTTTAGTATAAGTTTAACATAACAGCAAATGTACAATATTTTGTCATCATCAGGTACAAGGAGTTTACACTGACA